CATATTTTAAAAATACAAGCCTCATAAAGAATATCAGACAAAGTGTTGATTTTAAAATAAAAATTTATGTGAAAAATGTATGTAAACATGTCTAATCTTTTGAATTATTCTTTAATCTTCAATTACAATTTACGCATTATTGTCGACAGAGACAAACGATGATAGTAAAAATATAGCTACAGTATTTTAATAAGACAATGGTGAAACTGAAAAGGATTTGAGGTAAACAATCATAATAGAGATCACATTTCCTTTAGATTTTATGTGAAATAATAAATATGAAATTTTACAAATCATACAAAAATGCATAATGAATTTATTCAAGTATATATAGTTTTAACATTAATTTAAAACGTTTCGGAAAGAATAACACATAACTGTTCTACACCGCATATTTTCTCAGCTGTCTTTAGTTCATTAGCGCTTTTATTTGCTCAAGTCCTTGAAAAGATAAAACTACTCTTCCCATATGGTGACGCTGAGTTCTTAGCTCACACACATCTTGTTTTTAAGTATCTATGATTCATTGTTGTTGATCCTATAAATAGAACGCGATTGTCAACGCTCGTCATATAGGTAGCTACATTTGCAACTGGAAACACGAAGAACACGTTTCTCTTCTTTTGGTTGAAAATATGAAAGTTATTTCAAAAACTGTCACTCTTTTGCTTTTGTTTTGTGTATTTTCGTCTTGCTCTGGAAAACCAAAATGGTTGTGGATGGATAATGAATTTGCGGAAGAAAAAGACATGTCCGAAATGGAAAAGAAAAAGCAAGACACTAAAGATCTTCTTCATCCAAAAGGATGTATCTATTCAGAGTCTCGTCTATGCAAGGGCTGAAACTTCCTCAAGTAAAACTATGACCAAAATAATTCTTAAATGATCTAATTTCTGTATGAAAACTTATTAAAATAAAATAATAAGATCGAAGTATTGACAAACTATATTTGTGTGTTGAAGGAGTTCCCGTACTTATTGTATGTCCTTTTTTGTATACAATAGCGTTTGTCTAAAGCAGTTCGAGCAGTATTACTTTCCAACTTTTGCATTTTATATCTATTTTAAAATGAAACACTTATGTACAGTCTACGTTATATGTGTACTTTCAAGTTTTCGATTATCGTTGTTCGTTCAAAGCTTGATAAATGCAATACATTGATGCCGTTGAGCATAAACAACTTGTTTATATGTTTTGTGGTGGAAATGGTGGGGCTGTGAAATGGAATGCATGAAAATATTTTCTTAAACCATCTCAGACTCTTTTCTGATTCTTTAATTGTTTTCTGGGTGTTTTCGTCTTGCTGGGCAAAACCAAATTGGTCGAGGGTTGATGATGAATTTGTTGAAGAAGAAATCAGAACCGATGAGAACCAGTAGCTACTGCGGAATTGTTGTATTATGAAGTGGAAAAGTTACCACGCAGGGCGCAATTTGATTACCAAGTCTTAAAAGTTTAAAGCAAGTAAAGTTGGTGGGTTCTTTTCATTTCGTAGGAAGTTTATTTTCAATAATACTTTTGACTATTCTGACTTTACCTTATTTTTGGTTGTAAGATGGCATTTTTCGAAAATATGAGTTCTATGACGTGCAAAACTCTATGTATGAAGCTAATTTCGACGCAATGATAAATGCAAACGAGCTTTAAAATACAACAACTATATGACAAATATAACTTGTATACATGTAATATATGTCATATAGTTTCACTCGAAGGCTACTCTCTGCCAAAATTTGCTGACAGCAATCAAACTAGTCGTAGTCTTTCCACGCGCGGCTGAAAAAAGTTCATTTACGACAATAAGCACTATGATGTTTGTTAACGAGACATACATTTGTTTCCTGCGTTGGTCACACGATTGTTCACGAGCCCTGTTCTATATACTTCTGAACAACAACAAAGTACGAAGAACAATGGCATCTCGTTGTAAGACCCGTACTATAACGGAAATTGGGGATAAGGTGGTTATTTAGTTGTGCTCAACTGATTTCGTATGAAAGTGAAGATAAACAACCCCAAATTAACGTTCCAACATCTTTTTTCTCATTTTATGAACTACCAAACCCACCATTCATACACTATTGAGTAGAGTTTTCAAAAAATTAAGGGAATATTTGAAAAGAAAAGCCAATTTTTGAAATTATCAGTTCGACTAAAACATGTTGTCTCAAACAACAATAACTGGTAAACTTGAGCGCTTTAAAATTGAATGGCAAGCAAAATTCAGCAAAGCTTTGAGCTCGTAGCATTCTCGTGGACTCTTTAAACTGGCTTATTATATAACAAGTGCCAAGCGTCACTTTCAGCAAAATGGTGCGCTTTCATTAACTCATAAACATTTTTGGCGGCAAACATTTCCCCGTAGCTATATGATGGGCGTTCCAATCATTTGCAGTAACAACGTAAACAAACGTGAAGGAAAATGAAAAAAAAGCAGCAAAGAACAATATTCTTGACTTGAAATTCAGCCTTGTTTATGGTATGATGCAAAAGAGTATTTAATCAGCGCTATTGTCGGCACAAGCTGGCGTGTGCGACCAAAACTTTTTAATAAATCTCAAGAGAATGGTTGCAAGTCAAGAATACGATTGTGAGACGAAGGAAAACACTAGGAAAATGTTTTAAATTATTCAGACAACACAATTTATGACGATGTATTTTTTATTGACGAAAACTAAAGAAGCGAAAGTCATCCCCTATACAAAAAAGCGAGGATGAAAAGGAAAGAAAGCCTTGTTTCAAATTAAGTTATGCCACATAATAAAATTAAATTTATTCGCCTCTCTTTTTCCGAGTCTTAAGTGAAAAATCTCGGGCCTCTGTTATTGTCACGGATTGAGAACGTTCTCGTAAAGACCTCGCGCTCTGTTATTAAGAGCTTATAATATATTTATCAAAAAGTCATAATTACGTATTTAAGATACTCTTGTACATCTTATCAGAACAGATTTTAAGATAACTTTCACTCATATTTCTACTAGTTACGATTAAATTCCTCATTTTAGTCCGTATATTATGATCAAGTTTTTGTGTTTCAATTCTCAACAAATCAAATTGAATTATTCATTTTATTTACAACATTGTCGTCTTACAAGAAATACCTGTGTGCATATTACCTTTAGAAATTGGAAAGCATTTAAACAATGATTTAAGACTTTTACCATAATTCGTAAGCCTAAGTGCGTATAAGATTGGATTGAGAGCAAAATTCAACAAGGCAACTGGTTCATAGTGCTCTGCAAACTGTCTAGCATAGCTGCTCTGCATTTTCTCTAATCTCTCGATGAATTCCACTTGTTTGGCGACGAAATATGGAAAGGCAGTTACAAATAAAACTATATTCAGAATGACGATTGTCTTTGCAATTTCAATGTGTTTACTGTTCTGTTGTTGCCCATTCTTATTTGCATTTCGTCGACTTAGCATTACTTCCTTGATGATAAAACACTTCATGATAATCTGGAGGAAAACAGCAAATTCTAAGACGGCATATTCGGTTATATAGATATGCATCACCTGTTCGAGCGAAATATCAAAAATTTCATGTGAAATTTCTCCTAAAGCCAGGACACCAGCACCAAACCATATTGTAACGCACAATATGGTAATTTTCTTAGTAGATAATATCTGTCGACTGTGCATAGGATGTTTGGCAGTGGTGTATGTCTGCCATGTAAGTGATGTCAAAAGAAAAAATGATCCTGCCGTTCCAAGCATCCACAAGTAAAAACAGGAAAACATTATTTCATTTGGCACTGTGATTTTAAAGGAAAATCCCAAACCAAGAATTAAGAGCTTTGAAAGAGAAGCAATAAAATCAGCTATGGCTAAATTAAAAATAGTCATCCATGGTCCACGTCTTATAATAAGCAGAGGATCCAAAACAATAACAACGATAAGAAAACTGTTGCTAAGAACGCCAATCACGGACACCGCCTTTGATGAGTATGTTGCCGCCTGACATCCTTTATCACATAACATCCCCTATGATAAAATGTTCAATTATCTAAGCAAAACTTATATATTAATTACAACATTTTAAAGGAAAATGCTTGTCTTTAAATATAGATTCATGAACTAGAAGTTACTATCGCAAGGGGAACTGCTGCCCAGTCTCCCTTGTAGGCAAAAAATTGCACGGTACAGTCGCACCAGTTAGAACACCTCTTCGTATACAGCAATCTAGGTGCTTTCATACGTACGTTATGATTAGGTGATTTTAATGGTAGAAAAAGAAATTCTACATGTGGGCCTTTTTAACTTTTAACATTGCGTTTGCTAGATATATTTCGCCATGTTTAGAGCTTTCTTTCTATTTTAAGGCCAGTTCACACGTTCCGAGTTGTCGGATCCGATTGTTTTGGTTCCGTCTTTTGATTGCTTGGTCAGACGGTCCAATAATTTTGTACATGTTTATATTCATTTAGATACTTATAGTCGTTTGAACAGCCATTTGTGCCATCCAGTACATTTATTGACATATTTTTCGTATTTTCGTTCTCGTTTATAAGTCTTTTGTAGATCTATGTAATGTGACTGGTGGGCTTCGTTTGATGTTGTCGAATGAAACAGAGCAAGTTTTATTTCCATACGATTTTTTAGATTGACGGATTCAATAGTCGAAAACTATTTTTATATATGTTCACATAAGCCGTTTTAGGACGCAACAAAATCGGATCGTGTGAATGGGCCTAAATGAACGTGCTACACGCAATGCACTGTTGACTTTATATGGAGTAAGTGCAAACAAAGGCACGCGTTATGAAAGCCAAAGGTTGATTTCCGGCAAAATATCTTCCGTGCTTTAAATCTTATTTTATTTCATATTTCAAAATAATTTTAAAGGTAAATTCATTAAAATTTCGAATTAAAACAATTTTTTTATAAGATGTTTTTATCTCCAGCATATTGTCTATTGAGTATGATACTTTGTTCACTCAACCGATAAATCAATTGCATGTTTACATACGTAGAAACAGACAACATTATACAACTGTAGGTTTGTTTCCACTATTTCTTTTACAACATTTTTTAATTCTTGATACTTATTGCTGGATATCTGTCAAAAACAAAGTCTAGTCTAGTAGCCTTGCATTGCTCTGCAAGCTTTACCAAATAATCAAATATTTGATCTGCAAATTCACCAAATGTTCTCTATTTTCGTTATGCAGCTTGCAATACTGCCATTGCATCAACCATAGTGCAATATTATCACCAATGTTTGCGATATCTACAGTTGGATTGTTGGCTGCTTCCTCTAAGATGTGCAACATCTTGGCTTTCTTTGTCTTTACAAGTCCCCCTGTCAGAAAAGCGATGGAATGTGGATAGTCAGTTAGACTGTAAGATAATAACTCTTTTATATTAATCTCTCAAGATTTCGAAATTACCCAGAAATCGAGCAGAAAGATTCCTATTTGGCTTAACAATGCTTTGACGGCTCTTGCCGTTTCGTTACCGTCACTTTGTGAGACGAAAATGTTGTCAATTTGTTATTTTTAATACTTCTAAATATATCAGGGTTGTCGGTGAAAAGATGATCGTGACCAAAACACCACACGAGTAAATACGAGTACATACGAGTGACATACGAGTACATACGAGTACACACGACTGACATACGAGTACATACGAGTGACATACGAGTACATACGAGTACATACGAGTGACATGCGACTGTATCCTGGTCACAAATGAGAAATAGCACAATTTCTTCAATAATACATTGTATTTGCATTCACATTTGCTTGGGTTTGTCTGAACTCTGGGGCAACTATTTGATGAATTTAAATGCCAAAAAGGTATTTTATATGCCTACTACATTCATTTGTGTGTTTCAGTAAAATTTAATGTCTGTTGTGCGCAATATCTTAATCTATTAAACGGTTTAAATGTATCAACAACGATAGTCTTGCGGATCGTGACTAAAACACCACACGAGTACATACGAGTACATACGAGTACATACGAGTGACATACCACTATATAGGGTTAGGGTTAGGGTCAGGTTTGGGTTAGGGTTAGGGTCAGCGTTAGGGTTAGGGTTAGGGTAATATACATATATATTTGAAAATTGGTAATCTAGGCATATTATGATAATAATAAGGATTCTCTGGATTTCTATTTTGAAACTTAATTAAGCTTTCAACTCGGTGCTTCGAGCCTTCGTCAGAATGTAAGAATATATTATTTACAAAGATTTTGTACGCGTTTGGAGCGTCTGATTGGTTGGTTAGTAGTTGAGTTGATATTATTGGATGGTATAAGATGCGTTTTCATGGTTTCGGGTGTATTGATTGCGTTAATGAAATTCGAGTGTTTTATTTTAGTCGTTGTGTTATTAGTTTGTTGTTTTGGTTTTGTCATTAGTTGTGAATAGATGATGGGGATGTCAATATGTCTGTTTATTGTGTTGTTGCCTTTGCTGTACCATGCCTCTTTGAATTCTGGAGCGTGTTTTGTCTGTTCGCGTCCATGAAGTTGTGTTTTTGTCCAGTCAAATGTGTGGCTGGTATCGTAGGTATGTTCTGCTGTTATTGATTTTTTGTCGCATCGTTTGATGGCATTCTTGTGTTCAGTGAGTCTTGTTTCAATTTTCTTGGATGTTCGTCCTATGTACTGTTTGGGGCAATCTTTACATGGTATCATGTAGATCGCGTTGGTTGTGTCAAATGTCGTTGTTCGGTCTTTATGCTTAATGAAGTATGATTTGAGTTTGTGTGTTGGTTTATGTGCGAGGCTTATTTTGAATGGTCGGATTAGTCTTGATATCATTTCTGATGCTCCGTTTATATATGGTAATGTCACTGTTTTTACTGGTTCGTATGTATCTTCGTTTGGTTTTTCAGTTTGTTTTTTTGTGTATTTTGTTTAATACTTTGTTGGTAAAGTTTCTTGGGTAATTGTTGTTTATGAATGTAGAGTATAAGTAGTTGCGTTCATTCTTCTTGGCTTCTTTTGCATTGCAGTGTGATTTATTCCTGTTAAAGAGAGTTCGTATGCAACTAATTTGGTGTTGTGTTGGGTGATTGCTATTAAAGTTGAGTATTTGGTCTGCGTGTGTATTTTTGCGGAATACTTGTGTGTTTAATGTGCCGTCATGTGAACTGGTAAGTAGAAAATATCTTGGAAGGTACGTTGTTTGTTCTGTTCCTTGTCCATGGTGAAGGTTATGTTCTGTGTGGTGTTGTTTATTGTGTGTAGAATGTGTTCTGTTTTGTCTTTTTCGACGATAGCAAAGATGTCGTCAACAAATCTTCTCCGTAGTCTGATATGTGTGTTGTTGGTGATTGACTGCTTTTCAAGGCGTTGCATAACAGCTTCTGCAAGGTAGGTGGATAAAGGAGAACCCATTGGTGTTCCTGAGATTTGTCGGTAATATGAATTTTGGAAGGAGAATTCAGTGGAGAGGCTGAGCTCGAGCAGGTTGATGATATCGTCTTGGTCTAGTTCGGTTGGGATTTTCCACGAGTTGATGTTAGTAAGTAGTTCGTTTGTGACTTGTTTGGCTATGTTTAGTGGTATGGATGTGAAAAGTAACACCACATAATAAGATAACAAGATTTCGTTTTGATAGTATGATGTGATGATTTGACTAGTGGGTGCATAATATTAGAAAGATATTTTTATAGTTTATACGTAGGTGAACCAGGAAGATAAAAAATTGGTCAACAACAACACACACATCAGACTATGGAGAAGATTTGTTGACGACATCTTTGCTATCGTGGAAAAAGACAAAACAGAACACATTCTACACACAATAAACAACACCACACAGAACATAATCTTCACCATGTACAAAGAACAGAACAAACAACTTAGCTTCCTAGATATTCTACTTAACAGATCAGATGACGAGACATTAAATACACAAGTATTCCGCAAAAATACAAACGCATACCAAATACTCAACTTTAATAGCAATCACCCAACACAACACAAAATTAGTTGCATACGAACTCTCTTTAACAGGATTAAAACTTACTGCAATACAGAAGAAGCCAAGAAGAATGAACGCAACTACTTATACTCTACATTCATAAACAACAATTACCCACGAAACTTTATCAACAAACTATTAAACAAAATACACAACAAACCACAAACTGAAAAACTTAACGAAGATACAGACGAACCAGTAAAAACAGTGACATTACCATATATAAACGAAACATCAGAAATGACATTAAGACTACTCCGACCATTCAAAATAAACATCGCACATAAACCAACACACAAACTCAAATCATACTTCACTAAATATAAAGACCGAACAACGACATTTGACACAACCAACGCGATCTACATGATACCATGTAAAGATTGCCCCAAACAGTACATAGGACAAACATCCAAGAAAATTGAAACAAGGCTCACTGAACACAAGAATGCCATCAAACGATGCGACACAAAATCACTAACAGCAGAACTTACCTACGATACCAACCACACATTTGACTGTACAAAAACACAACTTCATGGACGCACCCAGACAAAACACGCTCGAGAATTCAAAGAGGCATGGTACAGCAAAGACAACAACACAATAAACAGACATATTGACATCCCCCTCATGTAATCACAACTAATGACAAAACCAAAATAACAAACTAATAACACAACGACTAAAATAAAACACTCGAGTTTCATTAACCTAATCAATGCGCCCGAAACCATGACAACGCGTCTTATACCATCCAATAATATCAACTCAACTACTAACCAACCAATCAGACGCTCCAAACGCCTACAAAATCTTTTTAAATAATATATTCTTACATTCTGACAAAGGCTCGAAGCACCGAGTTGAAACCTTAATAAAAGTTTCAAAATAGAAATTCAGAGAATCCTTATTATTATCATAATATGCCTAGATTACCAATTTTCAAATATGTATATATATAACCCTAACCCTAACCATGACCCTAACCCTAACCCAAACCTGACCCTAACCCTAACCGTATATAGTCGTATGTCACTCGTACGTACTCGTTTGTCAGTTGTATGTACTCGTATATCAGTCGTATGTACTTGTATGTACTCGTATGTACTCGTATGTACTCGTGTGGTGCTTTAGTAACGACCTAGTCTTGCGCTTGAGTTTTCATAAAGTTAACTCTCGATACACCCAGTTGGTCAAATCGTACAATAATAGGCAGCAAGTTTGGATTAGCGCTTACTGTCAAAATTAAGATATTAGATCAAGTTATGGGTATTTTTATTGAGTAAAGTAATCCGCCAGTATCGTTGAAATTATAATATTTGACTGTTATCATAAATGAAATAAATACGATGTTAATATAACGAATTATTATTAGCTTAGAGGGCATAAAATTTTCAAGCCCTAGAAAATGTAAAGATCCAGTTTATGAATTACAAGACATGCATGGTAAGATAATATACGTAACTTACACTTTCCAACGATCGCAAAGTTGCTTTTCTCCAGTAACTAAGTGCCATAGATACACAGTCTCGTACAATGTGCGTACATATATTCACAGACATAACAAATATTCACCATTCAAGATTTCTTTGGACATAACTGATGTATATTTGAATTAAACTATATGTTTTATTTCCACAAATATAATATTAAAATACCTATAACTTGATCGAATATCTTAATTTTGACAGTGAGCGCTGCTTCAACAAGAATCAACCTTGCAGTTGCTGCCTATTATTGTAGGAACTGACCAACTGTGTACATCACATGGCATAACTTATAATTTCTTATTATTGGAAATGTAAGTATTTCATTTTCAAATGCTTTGGGTAATTTTTACAATAGACAATGCTCTTCAATCTAATCATATCTTGTTAGTGTCAAATTAACAACATCTCCGGTTGTGTCCGAATATTTATTGAATGGTTAATTGAGTTCTCTTGATAACTGTAAGGGTTTGTAAGTATAAAAATATAGGGTTGATGCTTATAAAACTAAAGGTTTAGGTTGTATGAAAATAAAACTATACCGTGAAACCTGTTAAGCGGTCACTTTTGGGAAGCTCTCGTGTGACCAATTAAGTGGCCCTTCTGTATAATTTTTATTCTGTGAGGAATGTCAAATTTGAAAGATTTTGTACATATGAATTAGCTATAGACAGCAAATAAATTCAAACAAAAAAATTTTCAGCAGCTCTAACATGCTAAATATTCAATTTTTAGATTTTACATTGTTAAATACGTGTGTTGATGCATTGTCGTCACAACAGATTATCATGCATAAAAAGTGCGGAAACAAAGAGTGTTTTGAAATATAAAACAATATTAGATTAGTTTGTAAACTTACCTTTGTTTGATTTATCACTTGCATAAGGAATTAAATAATAAATAATCGGTCTATTTGAAGACCTGAAATATCATAAAGCCAGTTAAACTTATCAAAAATACCGAGTTTGAATTATCATGGCAGGTTGCAAGGCCAAATAGTGCTTAACACTTTAAATGTCTCTCAAAATGGAAGAATCTGCGACTTGAACCGGGCGATCAATGAAATATAAAATTGATTCTATAGATTAAAAAAAATTT